GTTTGCGCCCTTGACAAAGTGTTCTCCATGCACCTCTTGACAGGGCTGCTAAATTCCTGCCCAGACCCCATGAGCTCTGTGTTTCTCGAAGCAGGTACCAAAACCTCAAGACAGGCGAAGGACACACGAACCTGGCAAACAGCTTCCCGCCTTAAGGTCCTGCAGCCGCCTCTGCAAGTTGCTCTTGATGTCCGCCTCACTCGATAGGAAGGTTGTTGCCGGATCTTGTCACTCACTGGTGCTGTTTTTTCTTCTGGTCCTTCACACCGTGGAAGATTTCTGATCTTTGTACTTTGGTGGACCACCAGGGTGGGTGCGAGCTACCACAATCACTGTCACACGCTAGAAGTTAGTGACGCCTTATCCCAGAAGCAAGTGGTCCAGCTGCCTGAGTGTGCCCCAAAAACATGCGCCACCGAAAACCACAGAGGCTGAGACCACTGCCAGAGAGGTGCTTGGCCGGGACCGCAGCTCCGGCGCAGAGGCCGTGGAAACCCAGTGGCCTCTCCCCATGGAAGCTGACAGGACGCTTTCGGGATCATGTTCCTTTCAGGAACACCCCATGTCCACCTTCAGCCCCCCCGCCTCCCACCAAGGTGAGGTGGCCATTTTTGCAAAGCATCATGCCTGTTTCTATAAAATTGAAAACATGCTGAAGGTCGAAAACTCAGCTTGTCCAGATCTTTAGTCGGTAAAATTTCAGTTTTCTAAAGGTAACAACCAAACGGATTGTTCGAAAGACAGCTTCCATTTGTCAAACGAGTATGGCAGACGGCCTGTTCGGTCTTTGCTGTGAATCAAGGTCCCGTGGTAGAGCTTCCAAAGGTCCAGTTTGATTGCGGGAGCTTGTCGTTTCTTTTGATCCCTTCCTTTAAACCCCAACTCCATGACAAGGTGGCAAGCTCATCTTTCAAAGGGGCCCCAAGAAGTCCAGGACTTGAACCCAAACTCGCGGCCCCGCACCTCCTGGCTCGAACATGGCTCGCCATGTTTGGATGTCCCGTTGCAACCATCCGCTACCTTATGAGATAGGAACCAGCGAGACTAGCAATGATACGCTCTAGCATTCCTTACCATGCAATTGAATCAAACGTCATTTGACCTCCAGATTGAAAAGGCTCTGTCCAAACCCAATGCCTGGAAATTGCTGATGAGCCTACAAGCGACGAGCCGAGCGGCTGAGTGGCGGTTCTGCAACCGACTCAGCACTCAGAGCGCAAAATGTGTTCTTTCTCATTGGGCTCAACTGCTCAACAAGACCTAAGGCGCCTGATATTCATCTATCAAACGTGCCCTCAAACCACATCCCTCACGCTAACACACACACACACACACACACACACACACACACACACACACACACACACACACACACACACACACACACCCACGCGCGCATGGCAAGATGCACTTTCACCGGAGAACAAGTCGTCTGCTGCAACTTTCCAAGTGTCAGGTCCTGAATCAAAGAATCAACAGCACTAGTCGCGACAAGTGAATGCCTCTTCAAACAAAACCGTGCCAATGCCAAAGAGCAGCCACCGGCTGGATGCAGTACTTGGAAAGTGTGGGGTCATCCTCTTTGCAAAAACCGTCGGCAACATGCGAGACTGCAAGAAATCATGACAAGCACGAAACGGTTGCCGTCCTAAACAGCCTTGCGAAATCTAAATCGGCTCAAATAATCATGATCCGCATGCATCGGCAGTGTCGCTGTTTGCATCAGAATTCTCGCCGAACTCCTTTCCAACAGGTAAGTGAGTTGCTCTTGCATGCCACAAAGCAACCAATCCTTTCATTTGCACGACACCCAAAAGGAATTGACTTTGAGTTCCGGGATGAATGGTCAAACAGGCACGCGTTTGAATTCCCAATGACACCAGGGAGTAGAACTTATTCGGAAACGAGCATGAACACCCACCCACCCCCCGCCCAAACCGGGGCCCCCCGGCCCCAAACCCAAAACCCACCACTCCCAAACCCCAGCCCCAAGTGGTAGGTCGCCTTTGCTGCAGCGGCACCAGCGCCGCCTTGAGCTGCTGGCTCACCCGGCGGCTTCGCTCCAGCTCCGCCCGCTCCCCCTCCCAGAGCCTTCGACGTCCAGTCGAACCAGGGATGTGGCAAGCCAATGGCCACTTTGGTCGTGTCCACTGGATGGTGTGGGGAATGACAGGGACCAGTGGCCACCTCCTTCTGGATATGGGGAAGCAAAAAATTAGAGAGGGTGATCCGCTCGGATCAAGAACAGCCCCTCTGGGGCCTCATCCGTCCTTGCTCACCACATCTAGCATGTCGGGTTTTCGAAGACATGCAGTCAATCTAAGGCTTGCAAGCTTCTAGGAAAATGGAGTCCTTGCAAAGTTTCTCCAAATCGGGATAACCTCGAAGGCGCTTCCAGAACCCCAGAACGCCTCCAAAAAAGCGCAAATGCCTTTTGGCCGAATACAAGTGTCTGTTTAAATATTACCTCAATCCATACTGCATGAGTTTTCCTGGAGAGACATGCTAGAAGCTCGTCCGGCTGGAATCCCCTGAGCTTCATTGCAGTACTTGCCTTCCGCTCAGAAGTGGCCCAATGGTCGCTCCCTAGCTTCCGAAGTCTCCACTCGGCACCCGGCGTCTTCAAGGCGTCCACGCTCTCCGGCACCGCCATGGCACCGGAACGGAAAATATTGACTCAAACAAATCGAACTCTTCAATTCGTCAACGGTGCGCGAGCGAAACAGAATTGGCCCTTTGGCATTCCCGTGACGTCAAAAAGAGGCAACACCCACGCCTCATCCTGTCTGATGCTGTGAGCAAAACCTGGTGAGCAGAAATGACTCATTGCATGCATTCCATGTGGAAGCAAACATCTGCACTGCTTCTGGCAAGTTGAAGGCAGAAGACAGCTGTTTCAAACTGATCAAGGCTAGCAATGCAATGCATTGGGAAAATCCGCTGGAAGACAAGCGAAAAGTCGGCGCCTACTGGGCTGAGACTGACCACCTGCTGTTCTTTGCCAGTCTAAAAGAAACAAACATGCATCAGCACCCTCTGCAGAGGCCCCCAAATCTGCCTGAGATCTGAAAATGGCTGGTCACTTTGAGACACAAACGGGCCGTGGGAGGGAGCCATGCAAGGCATTCTGTTCCGGAAGCATGTCGCTTCACTCCCAAAGCTGCCGCTTTGGCAAGGCTGGCGGGATGGGCAAGCCGCTCAGAAAGCCTGTCACTGCAACCCCCGTAACAACTCTCTGCTCCTTCCCCACAACGATTTCCCCGGCCTCGCACACTCTCCCATACCATGGCTTGACAGGAATCTCGCAATACCCCTGGTCCAGTCAGGAGCTTAGCAGCAACTATCAAAGCCTTGACAGCTCGCTCATTTTCTGAAAGCCTGACCCCTTCATCTCCCATATCTGCTACCCACGTGTCCATTGCTGAGTCAATCGAAAACCTGCGGAGCTGTCAATGTCACAAGTCCTGTAGCTCCACACCTTCCAAGATCTTCCCAAAACAATCTGAACTCTTCGTGCCCGCCACTGACCCGCCACTCCTCGCCCAGAGTGGTTTCTTCTTGTTCAAGCCCTTGAAAAAGAACGACTCCCTCCCTTCCCCCGGCACCGCCCCCAAGTCATCGCCTTGCGCGGCGTGCCGCGCCCGCCGGGCGCCGTACGCCGCCAGCGCCGCCAGCGCCAGCGGCGGCGCCGCCCAGCGCGGCGCGCCCAGCGCCAGGGGCGCCGTGCCCAGCGCCGCGCAGAGCGGCGCCGCGCGCTCGCAGAGGTCCCCAAGCCGCGTCAAGAAGCCGAGCGCGGCCTCCGTTCGAGAAGAGTTGGAGAACAAAAAAGAAGAGATTTAGCTTAACTGGACATTGTGGGTATTTTTACTGATGCCTTACACAAATCTGAGATGGCTGCCATAAGCTGACCTTGCCTCGTTCTGCCTGGGGAATCGGTTCGGAACTTTGGGGGGAGGCGGCTTCCTTTTGTCTGTTCACTCTTTCAAACAGAATCACTGCGCGCATGCGTCACATTTTTGGAATATCCGCAAAGCAAACCTGTGCAGTCAACATCGGGTTCAACCCTTTTTAACTTTCATGAAAGCTCACTGGCGGCATCGATCGGGAAAACATCCGAGTGTTCCCGTTCCTCAGAAACAGCAGCGCACATGTCAGGTCGGCCCCATTTGGCCGCGTTCGAACTGGCCAAGCACCACATGTTCCGGCTGCTGTTACAGCTCACAAATGCCCTCTCCATCTGATTCAACAGACGAACTCAAGGCCCCTTGCATGAAAAGATCGCCTCACCAACTTGCACGTCATATCAGAGTAGTGAGTCGGTCGGCCTTCCTTTCGTCAGTCTCACAGCCGATCTCACCCCCGGCCTGCGCATCCCGGCCGAAGCAGGTGTGCGCCTGCCACCGGTCGAAGACCCCCGCCGCCGGCGTCACACCCTCGCCGCCTCGAGCCATCGCATCCACGGATGCTTTTTCTAGGGCACCCTGGTCGGGGTTGTGCTGTGGGAACCAAAGGGACCATCTCGTTGCTTCATAATCCTCTGTTTTGGAGGAAGCCACCTTTTCTTTGGGAGGTGTTCCCCGATTCAGAGAGCCCATATGTCGATGTTTACATCAGAAAAGACACCCATCTGCTGGGGTCCCTTCCAGCCGTCTCATCTAAAATCCGTCAGGCCATGCTTTGTATTTCCGGCAAGTGTCTGAACTGTCTCTTCTAATATATCCCTTGCGGCCATCAGCATATACTCGTGAATATGACATCCTGCGTTTGTGGCTCAACAAGCCATGAATTCATGCGTCGCCCACATCCTTATGCAAACTTTGGTCAAAAGACCTGTTCTATGCCCATGTCGTGACTCCACAAGCTCCTCAACAACTAAAATTCCATTCCTCTTCCATTTCTCCGTGAGCCCTAGGACCACTTTTGAAACTTCTGATGCCACTTTTGACGCCTCTTCAACAACCACCTTCAAAGAAATCACCGCGAACTCAGCCTTTCACACCTTACCCCCGCGACGCAAACGGACCCGCGCCTTCCTTTCGGCCGAAGGGCCCGCCGCCGCGCTGCTGCACCCAAGACCCGAAGCGCGCCACCAGCTCGTCCGCTGGGGTCTCCAGCAAGTACTCGGTGGCCGGACCCCCATAGCGCCTCGGATTTCGTCAAAACGGCGAGGGGCGAAAGGGAGGGGCCAAGTGGGCCAAAAAATAAGGCAACCCCAAAATGGGTTGCCCTGGTGAATGGAAACAAAGACTCAATCCTGCGGTCCCCGAGAACTTTAATTTTGACCCATACCCAAGCGGAGATGCGGCTCCCTTTTGTTTCTTCACTCTTGCAAACAAACTCGCGCACATGTGTCACATTTAGGCTATCCTCAAAGCAAGCCTGTGCAGTCAACATGGGGTCCACACCCCAAGTTCAGCTTCCCTTCAGGTGGTTTGGATTGGTGGTTTGGAGAGCGCCAGATCAAACGCGATAAATCAGCGGTCACCCCCCAACCTGGCAAGACTCCACGAAGACTTGGGAGAAAACTTGGTTGGAGGGCATCTCCTTACATGGAACCCCACAAACATCCACAGAACAGACGGGCTTGAAAAAAGAAGTGGCCAGCAAAATTTCACCCACAGCGACCTCACCAACAGATTGGGGCCCTGCAAGGCGGCCATTTTCTTGCAAAAGGTTTAACTTCTGAAAAATACTTCGCCAATTGATTTGTTTAGCCAAAAGGCTGACGACAAAAGCTGAGGAGGTGCCCGCTTGTAGCGAGAAGAAGCATCTACCAAAACCTCCCACATTCGTTGATTCCGACATCAGCGCCTTGATTTGGAGTGTTGGAGGGGAGTAGCTTTTCATGTTCAATGCCACTCCAAACCGAAACAAAACAAAAAGCCAAATGAAGCGGCTCCTTCCCTGCCCATCGTCCCAAAACCAAAAAACGCCGGGCGTCTGGGACACCTGCGGCTGCCGCAGCCGGCCGCTCCGCACCGCCGGCAAGCCCACGGAGTCCTGAGAAACTGCTTGGTGTTCAGGGTGCAAAGGGGTTGGTCTGCAAGCGGGAAACTAGCCGCTTGCACCTGCGATGCTTCAATATATATATATATATATATATGAGGGCAACCCTCCTCAAGCCAAGAACCTATCCAAAAGTTAGGAGACCCTGCTATATGTTGCTTCAGCCCCATGCGCTTTTGTGGAACCTGGCGGCAAGAAGAGCCTCCAACTGAAATTCCTTTGGGACCGGGGCCACGCCTAAGGCGGCTGTTTCAACCAATAATCGAGTGGAGATGATTGCCCAATGAAACTTTGGTCTGGGGAGATCTTGCTTTCCTTTACGAACCTAAGGGCTTCGCAAAATTGCTGTTGGGTCCTTGTCCGCAATTTGGATGTCACTGATGGTCAACCCAAACCTCATGGGGGAAGCCCAAAGCTGGCTACTTCGCAGAACGCTGAATCCACCGAAAACCATTGAATCGAAAACCACCGACAACAACCTACGCAAGCCATGAAAACGAATCAAACCGCATGAAAGCGGGATAATGAGGTGTTGATTTCAATTGGCTACCCTGTGGACATCATGTTGATGGCCAATCCGTTTTGATCAGGGGTTCCTGAATTTTTCACAGCCCCGTTTTCAGCCCGTCCTGGAAGGACAGCACGGTGTTGTCTTGGTCCCCGATGAGGCCCTGCCGATTCGGGCAGACGGGAAGAAGCGAAAAGCTGGGGCCTAACGGTTCTTCCCCTTGCCCCAAACGAGAAACAAACAGGACATCAAGCAAATAGACCAAACAGTCCAAAACGGCTAAACAAGCCCGGCATGCCAAGCATAGGAATGCTGGTGGTGACTAGCGGTTGTTCGGCGCTGCAACCCGTCCCGAATCCCCATATCTAACCCGCCTGCAACAGCTGCTGGATCTTCAAGCCCCGGCGGATCCGGCCCAGCTCGGGCCACTTTTCGCAGGCCCGGCGCTTCAACGACACCACCAGGCTCTCCTACGAGAAAGCGATAGGAGCTGAGTTGAGCTCAAACATTTCCCCCCGAAGAATCCAGTGCCGTTTCAGAAATGACAATAAAACAAACGCACCTTTTACTGTTGGCCTAAACTTCTGCCTATATGTTCGCTCGCGCAGACATGCAGAGACTCGCGCAGAAACACACACACACACACTCACACTCACTCACACTCACACTCACACTCACACACACACACCCACACACACACACACACAGCGAGCGTCCACACAAGTTCAGTGGTTCTCAACATCAAACACGTGCAAGTGTGGAGCTTCAGGCTGGTCGAATGCCACCAATTACAGGTGATGCTTGCAAAGTCTCTGGTGCTCGGAGGTCCTTGGGCTGATCTGTGGAACCCACAGTGCGACCTTTCAAGACCACCTTGGACATCTGCATCATGTTCCCGGAGAGGTTGCTCTTCTGGGACGCTTGCTGCGGGCTGGGAACGAAGTAGGAGGTCGTGATCTGCCGCACCTGGGACGATGGGAAGCAAGCAATTGGTGCCCAGGAAAATGCTCCCTTGCAAGTTGGATGTCGGAATCCCTAGCTGGCTTGTTCCCTTCCTGGCTTGTTCCTGTGTGTTGGGAACGTCCAAAAGAGAGTCCTTCGCCAATGGGACCCCGCCTTGCCCTCCTCCAGCGGCACGAAGTAGAAGTTGAAGCCCACAATCCGGCCGTCGGGGTAGAGGTAGGAGGTGGAGTTCGCGCAGGGCGGCGCAAAGCGCCGCTGCGCCGTCATGCCCTTGTTGGATTGCATGTACCTCTTGCTGGTACCCCTGACAAGCCCCAAATATGTGCTACATGCCAGATTCGTAGAGGCCCATGGTCCAAGGTTCAGGAGCCTATCTTATCGTCTGTTGCAGTTTCTTGGATGGAAAGGATTTTCAGGTGAGCCAAATTCGGCCAGAGTGCCCACCATGGACTGCTGAAAGCCCCTCGTCCCCCAAATCCTCCACTTGGAATGGCTCCATGGGATAGGCCAACTCCGGGGAAAAGTTGGGCAGCGCGTATTGGTGCAGGAACCTCGGTTTGATGCAAGCAAAGAAATTTGATGCGAACCCATGGTTGCCAAGACAAAAAACAGTTGTGTGTGTCTGTTTTGAGGTTGGAGATTTTCCTTTGGGTTTCCCTTCAAAACCAACAACAAGAGGGTACCCTCAAAAAACATTCTCAGGAGAGCAGCGGGGCGTGACTGGGATCCCAGCTCTGCTCCAGCCAGACCCGCCAGCTGGCCGGCGCGTCGAAGACGCTCCAGTTGGGGCTCTCCGACAGCTCCTCCGCCACGAAGGGCTCGCTTTGGGCGGCAGCCGCGCTGTCGGCGTGGGGCCACACGAAGAGCAGGCCCTTCCGCACCTGACGCTTTGGGCCCGTGGCGGTCCTCTCATTTGTTTCCAGTCTTGAAGACAAGTGTCGGGGTGACACAGGGCTAAACCGGCAACAAGAAAAGACCAGTTGGTATCCCTCCGCCTTGGTGGGATACGAGTCCAGCTTGCTGCAAGCAGTGCCAATGAGGCGTTTTTCCGCCTTGTCGTCACCCTCCGCCATGGGCACCTTGGCACAGAGGCCATCGCCCTTGAAGCACCACCCGTGGAAGCGGCACATCAGCTGCCCGTTCTGCACCCGGCCCCGCGCCAGCGGCGCCAGGCGGTGGGGGCAAATGCCCCCAGTGCACACCCACTCCCCAGAGTCATCCTTCCACAAAACCAGGTCCCGGTTCAGGAGCTTGATGGGCTCGGGCCCAGAGCCCTCCAACATGGAAAGTGGCAGAACTGGGTACCACTGCTGATCCCAGCTGTAGTTCTGCTTCTCTTCGGCCTCTTTGGGTGTCACCTCCTCAACCTCAACCCGATCCACTGGTGGATCCACGGCTGTTGCCCTTTGCGAAGTGCGCCTCGATGCCATCCACAGGCCCGCTGCACACGCCACCCTACACCCCGTTGCGCCCGCTCCGCCCGCTCCGCCCGCTCCGCCCGGCCGCTTCTCGCTTCTTGCAGACGGAGGGTGTGCTACAAGCTGAGCGTTGGCGTGTCGCACACCAGGTCCATTTGGCAATAGCATGGCGCAATCCGCGGGTTGAACCTGGCAAACGCTGTATCAGGTGCTGCCCCTTCCTGCTGGAGTGTGGTTTGGCGGGAAAACCACGATCGACAACACAATATAATTCATGCCCTCATGTTGTGTTGATGTGATGTGACGCTCGAGCTGCTGATGATGCATCAGCGTGGCCAATGGTGAAAGAAGGCAGCAATGTGTTGCCCAAACAACGTACTGGCAGAAGGCATACGCCCTGCATTTTCCAAATTGCCTCCAGTTTCGATGCTAGGGCTCAAGTTCGTGCACTCTGGGATGTTCCCACATGGATACCAACTGGAAAAAGTCAGCATGATCAATTCCAAATGCCGGCATTGCCATTGCCACACACACTGAATCACACTTGACATCTCAACTGCAAGGTTTCCCCAACCTTTTGGTGGAGCGTTGCGTGCTCAACAGTTGTACAGAACTGGGTTCATTTTGCAACTTTGAAATACCACTCATTGCCTCTCAACGATCGCTACCCAAACCGCCTTGCTTGATGCCCTGCACATGGTTTATCCCTACCACATTGCCCAAGAGCAGCCTGGCTGTCCCCGCTTGCACAGGCTCCCTGCATTCCTCAATCCGCAAGGCGCGCAAACAAGCCAAGTCGAAGAAACCCGGGAATCTGCAAAGTTGCCCGAGACAGAGGACAAAAAGATGTTCACTGCTTCAAGCAAAAGACATGCGTGCAATTAAAAAAAGGAAACCGATGCAAAGGACAACTCAGTTTCTTTTTCTTGTTGTTGTTCAGCGGCGCAGGCTCTGGGGTGCAGATGAGCCAACATGCGTGTTCGACTTACGCAGAATGAACCCCATGCGGAGCCTGAGGATCTACCCTCGACCAACGTGCGTGTTCAGCCGGCGTGAGATTGATACTCACACGGGGCGTGAAACGAGTCAAAGCAAGTGTGCAAATGTGCATCAAAAAATGAGCTTGGACCAGCCGGGTCCCACCTACAGCATGGTGTTTAGGCTCAAGCCTAAGACATGGGTGCATTTGTCTTACTAATAATAAAAAAGAGCCAACGCAAAGGAACGCTCAGTTTCCTTTCTCTGGTGTTGCTCAGCGGCGCAGGCTTTGGGATGCAGATAAATCAACACGCGTGTTCGATTTATGCATACTGAATCCCACGCGCAGCAGGATCCACCCCCGCATTAGAGCTCTGAGCAACCGGTAAAAGGAACCAGGACCCCCTCTTCAGTGCGGCTGCGATGCTCTGCGATGTTAAGGTTCCCTTTGCTGAGTTGGTCTGCCCAGATGTTAAACTCGCTTGGTACGTGCGATGCCATAAGCTGCAGGAAAACCTGCAAAGGCCACGAAGTTGTGAAAAGTTTATGGACACCTGCTTCGGACGCTGCGTTGGCGGCGCCTGTGGGAATGCAGCCATCCAAGCGACGCGCATGAGCGCGAATTGCGCTAGGTACGCTGTCTTCCTTTCAACCTCCTTGGTGGGAAACGGCCACTGCGCGTGGACTGTGGAGAAGCCCCAAATCTCTGCAAGCTTCTTGGAAATGAACCATCCCCCGACGCCAACCTTGCTGCCCTCAGCACAAGGGTCTGTAACTGCTCTGCACATGAGCACGTATGCTCGCGGAGGGGTGTGCCACGGTTGCGGCTACCGCTACTGAAAGCAGGTCTGATGAGCAATGGATTGCCTTGCCCTAGAGTTTGTTTCCCCGCGTCGCCTGCAGCATAATCACCGGTCGACAACAAGGGAAGCCAAAAGTAGCCAAAATGCTTCGAGGAAGCCGCGGGCAGCAAACGAATTCCTGAGTTAAGGCCATCCGGAAGACCCGAACAGCAGACGTAGGCCAGGTACAGGTCACGACTTAAGGTCGCGCTTTCCCAAATCAGCTCCAACTTTGCCACCGCCACCTACAGCAAGACCACGAACAGCCTGAGCGTCGCCTACGACGGCAACCGGCTGATTCTGAACAACCTGGAGCTGCAGCAGCAATTCTCCGACACGGCGGACTACCCCACCTCGCCGTCCGCCTCCGAGTGCAAACAGCACGGGAAACCGGGCCCTCAGTTCCAGGATTGATTGAAAGCATAACCTTTCAGCCGAAGGGATGTTCAGGCTTCAGCTCCGATCTTGGTGATCAGCTCGACAGTCTTCTGCCATGGTGCCTGCACACACATCATGATTTTGGTTGGAGCTGGGAAGAACACAGAGACACAGAGACACAGAGACACAGAGACACAGAGACACAGAGACACAGAGATTCAGAGACACAGAGACACAGAGACAGAGACACAGAGACACAGAGACACAGAGACACAGAGACACAGAGACACAGAGACACAAAGACACAGAGACACAGACACAGAGACTCGCGAAGCTCCTTATGTTTGTATCTTAAGCCAACTTTGGGGAAGTTGCGGGTGGTGAACTTCTTGTTTGGCGGGGATCTACAGAATTTTACACGGGCCTTGTTATGAACCCTTATATTTGTCTGATGCATGTGTGGGAATTACACTCACAAAGAAAACGACGTAGAGGGTGAAAGTTCGCTAATACAGACTTTTGTGGCACACACATATACACAGAATCAACAGTCCAGCTGTATCATTTTCTGCAAGCCCAAACCATGCCATCCATGTAATGGCAAAACACAAAACTGTACAAAAGCCGCGGCCAGCTCCCAGTATGGAAATGGCCATCCAAGGCAAGGTGGCGCCCCCCAACAAGGGCCAGCAAACCAGGCTTCTCTTGACAAGCCAATTTCCAAGCAGTCAAAAAGATTCTAACAGGCATTCACACAAAAGCAAGTTGTGCCAAGAAACAAGACAAGCAGAACAAGTCCGTCAGCACGTCCTGCATCAAAGATTCACACCCATCCAGCTGCTCCATCCATTAAGGTTGCCACAAGTCCAATCAAACGTAAAGAACCTGAGCAAAAAAGTTGCAGACATAGACATGTACCTGCCAAAGCCGTTGCAAACACAGCGCACATCCTGGACTGTAGCAACCTTATCGATGAATACAGCTGTCACCATGCATGCATGATTGAGCCAATTCGAGCCCCACGAAGCAGGTGTCCGCTCCGACTCTGACTACCTTCATCGACAACTTGCATGATGCACCAGCAGACCCGCTGGATTGAATCTGGCCCCAATCATGGATTCTGTGTGCAGGACGTTCTCCTTTGCACCACACGCAGTACGCACAGATTGCGTCTTGACCAGATCTGATGTCTCAAGACACACCAGGACGCATGCATTGCGTCTTGATCAAATGTTTCAGAACTCTGCAACCAGGCTGTCAGAACGCACGCATTGCACCTTGATCAAACTTTGGTGTCTCGAGACGCTTTTCAATACCACACACCCTGACCTGGGCGGGGGGATTTGTGCAGGCTCCGCAGGTGAAGGGACTTTGTCATCCCTCCTGCATCCCCGAGCCTGACTTCTGAGCAACGCCCAATAAAAAAGGAGCGGAGGACATTCTTGGGCCGAGCGGACTGGACTCCCATATCTTAGTGGACGCCTACGGACCATGTCAGGAGTAGGAAGATCGGCCGGAAGACCCAGGAGGTGCTGGCGAAAGCGTTCGCTTCGTGGGTGTCTTTGTTGCATGAGAAGTGTGCAGATGAGATTTGACATGTGGTAACTTCGTCGAACTAAGGACAGACGAGTTTTCCTTGCAATCCAGGGCTTTCAGCTTTGCATTATCGACAGCAGGTTGTCGCCTGCAAAGCTGCGGACAACGGAGACCGGAAGTGGAGGACCACCATTCTGGCATGAGAACGGTGGCCAATGTAACCGACCTGGAATTGAAAGAACCAGATTTGCAGCTGTTGTAGCAAAGAAAACTTTCCTGAAGAAGTTCGTGCCTATGTGAGTTACATACGGCAAATGGAGTCTTTTCAGGTTTTGAAGGAAGCGGCCAGGTTTATGAGACCAAGACACGAGGGACACAGCAGCAAGGCTCTGGACAACGGCGCGGACAACCCAAAGGGAATACAAAGGAAAAGGCAAGCAGCGTGAGAAGCCAAACGCCGAAGAAGGATCAAATGCAATTGTAAAAGAGGGAACATTTTCCAAAGATTGCTGGAGCAAGAAACCCTCTCCGGGGCCAAAGGCAAAGGTGGGAAGCAGCGCATTGGAAGATGGTGACCCAAATGTTCATGATTCTGGAGTCAAAATCGTGATCAACCAGGTCCTGAACTGGTGATGGCCATTTCTGCGCATGAGTTTCCTGAAAACATGATGGTCGGATTTTTCCATGGAATCATCTGCAGCCGCCGCAAAATTGTAGATTCGGGTGCCATGTTGCGGCCACCAAGTTCCTTCGTTTGTTTACTGTGTTCGGCCCCATGAGGGAGAGCCCACCTTTACATCTGCGTCAGAACACCAGATCAAGACCGGTGCAGTAGTTAACCTGAAAGTGCAGTTTAACGGCAGATGGCGCACAATGTCCCGGGTCGTAGTGGCAGATTTGACATTCAATGTGTTGAGTCCATGTGCGTTGACGAAGACAGAATGGCAAACCATTCTCGGAAAGCCCAAGCAGAGTGTGATTAGACAGGGATCTCTGAAAGGATGGTGGGCCGTGCAAACATGATTTAGTTGCGATGGAAGTTGATGCTCTGAAGAGGGCAAACAAGTTAAAGGTCCCGCGCACTGTTCCTGGCCTCAAACCACAAAGAACCCAGAACCCAAAAGCCGACAGCAAGGCGCACACCTTTTTACCGGGTTGCTTGGGAAGGTGGCACTTTCCTAGGGCACTGCGGTGCACCTAGGACAAGGGGCGAGATGTTCCCCCCCCTTGTGGGAAAAAAGACAAGCGTGTCCTTGCGCGTGCCCACGCCCGCATCAA